TTATTTTGTATTTTTTTTAATTATTTGTATTTTAATTTAAAAAATTTTTTTCCAAAAAATTTTGAATCACCCTGTATTTGTGAACTGCGTTATTAATGCTACACAAATGGGCGATCGACACAAGCTATTTTGAAAGTCAAAAAAATGAGTCTCACTCACGAATGGTACAAAACCACTATTAAGAATTATGGGTTAGACTTTATACCTTTCGAAGAATTTAAAGAAACGAAGAAAATAGATAGAGGCGGATTTGGTGAAATATACTCGACAACCTACACACCGACCTCGGAAGTAGTGATTCTGAAAGAAATATTTATTGGTGATGAAGAGAATCAAACTAGCATTAAGAATTTTCTTAACGAGGTTAGAATATTGGATGGTTTATTTATTATTAATAATGGAATAACTCTATTGACTACATTGAATATTACCTTTTAGTTAAAATTACACAGTAGTTTAGAACATGACCATATAATTAAATTTTACGGAGTAAGTCAAGGTCAGTACTATTTCGAATGATATATTTATTGTAAAATTTCCAATATCAAAATTATTTTACATAAATTTATATTAATTAAGATTCGGAAAGTGAAAACAATATATATCTTATGATGGAATTTGCAAACGAAGGAAATCTGCGCAATTATTTATTAAAGAAAAAGGATAACTTAATGTGGGAGGAAAAAATCAGACTTGCAATTCAATTAGCTGAAGGAATCTCGTATCTACATTATGAGCAAAATATTGCACATCTTGACTTGGTAACGTAAAGTATAAACTAATATTCTTGCCTCTACATTTTAATTCTAATTTCCATTTTTTTATATTTTATTAGCATACCAAGAATATTCTCGTATGCAGTGGCAATATTAAAATATCGGACTTTGGATTATCAAAATGCCTTGACAGATCAATAACGACCAATAGCAAAATATTTGGAATTGTACCATTTATTGATCCAAAAAAATTCACTAACAAACGTTATAAGCTAGATAAACGATCAGATATATACAGCATCGGTGTGTTATTCTGGGAAATCTCGAGCTGTCGGCGTCCTTTTGATCAAGAAAGTTATAATGAACTTACTCGGCATATTAAAAATGGGTTGAGAGAGAAACCTGTTTCAAATACACCTATAGAATACATTCAACTTTATTCTAATTGTTGGGAAATGGATCCCATTCGTCGCCCAGAAATAAATATCGTACTTAGTCGGTTAAAGACAATAAATTTGACACTAGTTCTAGAAGAATTGCCGTCAGCCAGTCCTGGATTAATAATACTACGTGAATCGTATCCATCAGATAGTTCTATTCTTGGTAGGATATTTAAAAATAATTATCAAAATTTATGTTTGACGTATACGATTTACAAAAATGTTTCATTTATTTAGATTCCAACAGTTTTTCATCTGCTAGTCCTGGATCAATAGTACAACGTGAATCTTATCCATCAGATAGATCTTCTAACAGTTTCTCACCTCATGAACTGTCAATAAGTTTTACTTATTTATTATCCATTAGTATAAAAGAAGATTTATTCAAATTCTGGAACTTTCTTATTAAATATTTCATAGAGACAGGGATTTTCTTAGAATTTCTACCTTGCACAAATCACGTGGAGATGATTCAAAAATTTATTCGATCCCTATCTTTTTCGTCATGTGATTTTTTTTTTTTTTTTTTTATTTTAGAAGGAAAACAGAATATTGCCTTAAAAAGATAAATGATTGTAGAAGTTGCGCAGAAAAATGCTCCCCGTGTGTCACTCATGCACCATGTGCTTTCGAGTGAAATCTCCGAATTATATATTAGTCCCGTGAGCAAAATCGCGAAAATTTTTAATCTCGCGGAACCTAATATAAAAATATAGATAAATCTTTAACAATTTTTTTTATTAAATAAATAAATTATATATAAAAAATAGATTATGAAATAATAATAATTATTGTTATATCTATAATTTATTTTTGATAGGATTAGTGAGATATGAATTTTTTTTTCTTTTGTTAGAAGTACGTATATAATATTTCATCATTTTTTTGATTTGGATTTTTTGAAAAATCAATAATGATAAATATTCATTTATCAATAAATTAAATTTATTAATAGTTGTTGTTAATTTAATATCAAAATTATTTTCATTTAAATTAATGTTATCAAATTTGATCTTTATTAATTTTTTCGATATTAATAATAACATCAATTTTATCAATTTTATAATTTTTATAATTATTTTTTCAATAGTTAATTGAAAATTAAAGAATTTGCTAATATTTTAATTGATAGTTTATAATAATAAAACCAATAATTACAATTAAAATCTTATACTGTATATTAACAAAGCATTCAAAATAATAAATTTATTAAATTTATATTTGAATTTATATTATAAAATCATAAGATTTTTCATTATTTGAAATATGTTTACTATAATATGTTAATAAATACAAACTTTAGTTTGTTTATTATTTTCTTTAATTTTAAATTAATTTTTTTTATAAAGATTTTAAAAAAAATTTAAAGAAAAATACTTGTTAAAATAAATAAAAAATTTAATTAAATTTAAAAAATAAATATATATATTTTTTATAAATTTTTAAAATATATTTAGTTTTGTTTTTTTAATTATAAAAATATTATATTATTTAAAGATTTTTAAATTTATTAATTTTAAATTGATATTTTATAAACAAAATTATAAAAAAATTTTTTTTTTCAAATAAAAAATATTTTATATATACATATATTTTTATTATTTTTTTATTTATTTTTTTAAGGCTAATTTGCAATATATGTATAAATTTTATTGATAAATCAAATTATAATTATCTTATATATAAATAGTTTATTATATACATGTAATAGAAATTATTGAATTAAGTCAGGTGCAATTAAAAATCAAGAATTTAGTAATTGGATCAAACAAATTTTTTTATAGTTGACACAATGTCACAATTGTATCACAATTATTTTAATATAACACAATTATATGATTTTGTTATTATATAATTTGATAAAATTATTTTAATATAATTCTAAGTTGTGATATACAGTGTGTTACAAAAAGAATAATAATTATAAAATTACTTATTGTGACACAAGTGACACATCAAATTAAATAAAAATTTATTTATAGTAAGGTAAGACATATATGATTTATATAAAAAAAATTTAATATGAAATTCTTTCTCCATTTTTTTTTATTACTAATTCGCATCGTCACCTTATTGATCATATTAATTCTTTTATAGTAAATTCTGAAATATTTGCCCATTCTTCATTCATAAATTGTATTAATTTATTACGATTTTTTAGCATTCACCTTTTCACATTCCCCTTAACTATCGACCATAAATTTTCGATCAGATTTAGGTCAGGACTATTCGATAGCTATAACATAAGATCCAGAATATTTTTAGTAAGGAAAGTCTTAGTCGGATGACTAGTGTACTTGAGGTTGTTATCCTGTTGAAATCTCTAGCCACCTTCAAGTATCCTTATAACTTTGGAAATATAGTCGCGAAAAATATCTATATAAAATTTAAAATCCATAATCTCTGTAAAGCAAAATAAACTAGTTTTACCACTTGCGCAAAACCCATCCCACATGAAAACCTTTGTTTGATCCTTAGATATGAATTTTACTGGTTATGCACTCTTATACCACCTTTTTATTGTGTTCTGGAATAATTGAAAAGCTGTTTTGTCTGTAAAAATAATCTTTTCCCAATCGTTTTCTAGGTGTTCTCAGATCCATTCGATACATTTTTGCATCTGATTGTTTGTTAGCATTGGCACTCCCAAAGAAAGAGCATTTTGATATCCAATTCTATGCAAATGCCTCTAAATGGTAGTGTGGAAAATACTAATACTCTTTTTCTTCAGTTTTAATGCCAGTATTTTTAAAGAAAGTGAAGAATTCTACTGAAGGTATTGTTCTAATGTTTTTGAAATACTGCCGGCGATCTTTCTTGGTTACCTATTATCTTTCTTGTACATGATTTTGTCCTGGATTTTTAATTTTTTAAGGTTTCTGTAGATAGTTACAAGTGGTATACCAGCCCGGCAATAAATCTCACTAGTCTCATGTACCTTCTGCCCCTATAAATATAATATGATATTGCACTGTGCTTTTTGCCTAAAAGATGACATTATGTTAGTGGGTTTTTTTGAAAGTAACAATAAAATATGGTCATAAGACAAAAGAAACTTGATTGTCTACCTTCAGTTTATATTCTAGTAAATTCTTGTTACACTTTGTCTAAAATTAGTAAAGTTAGAGATAATCTTGTAATATATAAATTTTTATTATTCTTTTTGTAACACACTATATGTATAGATTTTATCGATAAATCAAATTATAATTATCTTATATATGAATAGTTTACTTTATACACATGATAAAAATTATTGAATGTTGGAAAACTCTCTTCTGATCGTATTTGTTTTGTTAAAAATTTTTTTTTTATAGTAATTTTAAGCAATAAAAAATGTTTTACACTCTTTATTACAAGTGAGCCCCAGCTCAAAAACTCAAGAACCTTCAAGACAACTGGTGCAGTAGGATGAGACCTCTGGTCAAAATCTATTCAAGTTTGGGAGTCTTGCTTATCCTTCAGTTGCATGAGAGAAGGTCTATAGTGATTCTCTTTTCTTCAGTTCTTTTGCATCCCTCTTTATCCTTATTATATCATAAAAACTATTTACATTATTACCATCATACTCGCTAAAAAATACACTTTCCAAAATATACACTCAAACAGAGTTAGTGGGTCTACTGTTTGTTTCAAGTCAACCCTCACACACTATATTCTCACAGTAATATTTGCTGCGCCACTCCAAAACACAAAAATTTTTTCAAATAAAAAACTGAAATCAGTTTACCCCCTCCAGATGATCAGCACTCTCCAGTCATCCAATCAGATTTCACAAAAAAATCAAAACAAAAACTGTGTTAGCTTCAAACGGTTTCGTGCCACAATAACAACTCTAACAACAAATAATATCACGTGTACTCTACTATCTATGGTAACCGAAGAGCTGGAGAGATGTGACAACGAGCCTGTCCAGGGGTTCTCTCGGGGAAATAATTGGTTTTCTACTTATAGATTTTATAGTTTATTTGACGTAGTTTTAGTTACAGTTA